AGCAGCTTCTCGTGTCGAGCCCCTTGCTACTGTGACTGCTGCTGACCTTAATGTTACTGATGAGTAGTTCACAATCATGTATGTCATTTTGAGCGAATTTTATTGGTTTCGACATTCGAAGTTCGAACGTGAACTGAACGTCCTGAACGCGTTCAAGGCCATTCAGTCCGACGTTCGGGTAAGCAGCTGAACCAAATGTGTGGTCCCGTTCAACGTTCGCGAGAATTTCTGTTGAACCGGACTGAACCGGACTTCCGCATCACTAGCAATGAGGATGATGACTGGGCCATAATGTGCTGCCATTTGAAAGTCTTCATATGAAGGTGGGAGCAGGAACCGTGAGAAACCTCGAAGATTACGGCGAAGGTCTTTTTGAATGTAGCCTTTGAGACGGGTCCACACGAGGTTGGTGAGAGTTGCTGCCCGGTCAGGATGACCAACCAGACATTGGTCCAGAACCAACCGAAAATGCTCTACAGCATCATTCAGGTGAGAGACTGTCTTGCTTGCCACGTATGTGACAAATTGTTCATGGCCCGCATCCGTGTCTTAAGCAATATCACATTCAACGATGGACTGCAGAAGGTGTTCTGTCAATAAAAGCCAACAACACAAAGGCTGATGCCACTCACATCAAGCAGTACACTATCCTGATTGTCGCAAGGATGCAGAACAACAGCCTTTAGCATGAGGGAAGAGTGAACACCGCGAACGGGTGGGAAGAAGATGTCTACGGGATGTGAGCATATGCGCATGAGTGAGAAGGAGGTTACTCACCGAAAGGCTCATCTCCGCAATCGAGTAGCTCATCCCATGACATTTCTAATTTTGCAACAACTTCCCCATTGCCTAACATTCGACTGAACTCATACGATACTCAAATCTCCACCGATAATTCATGCACCTCACGTAATGATCTAGAAACAGATGATCAGTCCTTGAATCACATCTGAAAGCTATTATAGACTTTACAAAATCACGATATTGCCCAGCACATCAGACTTGTTGGACGATACTACTCAGACGGGTGATTTCAAGCGCCTCCTTGAATCAACATTAAGTGATAGACGCTAGTTTGGTTAAACCAAGTGCTACATCACCAACTAGCTACATCAGTGGGATAATGTCAATATTGTCGGTCAGCAGCAAAAGCGGCACATCATGCACAATAGTTGAAGGGGACATGGTCACATGGGAGTCTCAGAGTGATCTTGCTACTCTCATCGTAGTACTCATTTAGCACAAGGCTAAAGCAAATCATGATATAGAATTTAGTGTATTTCATAGTGCAAACAATATAAACCACTGAAAATGATGCGCACCGTGACTGAAAAAACTGATATGTTCTATACGAATCTTGAGATTATGCCAAGGGTGTTGTGGAAGCAAAGACAACAGCTTGCATGGACACCCAAGCGAGCGAGATGAAGGTGGCCTTCATTAGCATACGGGAAGTTCAACGAACCTGCAGCTGTAGATAGGTTTTATGTGCTAGAGGTTGAAGACGAATTACATAATAAAATCAACCGTGCTTATATGGGTATTTTGCAGTGGTCTCATTTTCCATAATCACCCGCGGTGACATTAATCCGATATGTTGTGCTGTGCTAATTAGCTTGATCCCCTAGGGGATCCAAATTGTTTTTGTACTGGAATTTATGTTGAACCTCTAATTGAAGATACGACATCCATATCGTCTTTCAAATTTCAAATCTCACTTTGGCAATAGAGCGTATTTGCAGCCCCCAAAATCAAAATGCCTTGGCCAAAATCGACGCTCCACCCATGCAACGGACTTTGCCGGAGCTATCTCGGCATGTTACAACACGTGCTGTTACATGTTCTGTGAAATACATAGCGAGAATCCAATTGTACTGTCGACGAAATTCAATGGCCTCTACTACTTGAACCTCCTCGACCACCCCTAGTCCTACAGCCTGTAATGCTAGCAGCAACATCCACTGTTGTTGTTGATGCTGATAGAGTCTATGCTTACAAAACTTCCTGGCAGTATAATGTATCATGTACTGTAATTGTAGAAGGTATGTGATATATCCACACCTTTAATCCTTAGACAGTGATGTATCAGCCTCTGTCACCTATACCATTTGCCCGTTATATATCATGCTACTATTGAGTGATGTATCAGTATGCATCTATACCGCTTGTCAGTAATATATCATGCTACCATCAAGTGATGCATCAGTATGTTTCCTGTATCGTTATATATCATTGTTTCTTGTAGCGTTATACATCATTGCCTTGTGACTCAGCGAGTGATATATCATGTATACCATTGCCTCGTGACTTCAGCGCGTGATGTATCCTGTATTGTTATATATCATTCTCGTGACTTTCATGACTCAGTAGTTGATATATCATGCCTAGTATGTCATAAAACATATATTAGAAACCTCCGTCGTATACAAAATTGCCGCTACAAACAAATTGGACATATGCTAAAGTACTTATATCAGTCCGCAGGAGGCTCGGCACTCCATGACGGGACAGCATCCCACAATGACCTGAACCATGCAGACATTCTCCGACGTAGCATTGCCTGGCGATGTGCGTATGCAACCGCACCCTCTGTGAATGCAGGCAATGAAAATTGCCGTCGTGAGCCTTGTGCGTCCCACCATCGAGCCTGCCACTCAAAGAAAGAAAGAACACGGCGCATTTCCTCACGAAGGAGTTGTACCTCCTCCTCCCACCGATGAGCCCGTGCCCGTGCCTTGCACCATTCCACACGCAATGCTACAATATATTAATCAAGCGATGCGCACAGTCAAAATCAAAGACTTACAATCCTGCAGCCCTTCCTCCTGATTGTTTGATACCCCAGGCGTTTTCCATATCCACGAAATATTCTGCTGGCCAACCGTCTTCCCTTCGTCGTGGTTGAGTGGGACTGCATCTTTTGCCCTGTCCAGTGGCTTCAGTATCCGCTGCCAGTCGTCGTTCTTGCCTAGTTTTGAAGCAAGCATTATAAGCGCGTCTCGGGCAGCAGTGTACTTAGCTGATATTGCATTGATACGACTTTCGGCAGAGTGAATAATGCCCTGGGCACGAGTGTTCGCACGCTGACCTCGAACGAAGGCGTTCTTGTACTTGTAGAGGTGGTAGGTCATGTTGATGACAGCGCGGAGGTCATCCAGAGCATCATTTGCCTGTGCCTGACGCAGATCCCATTCGTACCTTAGCAAGCGGTTGTCACAAGGGAAGCTCGAGGGCAGCGAAGAAGGGAGAAAAAGTTGTATCTTGTGGACCTTGTCCTCAGAGGCAATATCATCGGGCGAACGCAGGCAGGAGACGTAGGGCATGTACAATAATTGTACTCGGGACCAGGTGCTGATTCTACGATGGAGGGCATTGATGTGCTGGAGAATCTTGATTTTTTGCGCATCGGTTGCATGCTGTCCAATGGTGCGAGCTTCAAGCTCAACACGTCGCCTAAAAACATGTCAGCCACAAGCACAATATGTGATGCGTGAATACGCACTGCTGATCTTCTAGTTCCATCCCTGATGATATAAGGACCGAAGGTGATATATCATCGTCCAGGGAGATGTGTACGCCATGCTCGATTTCTTCTGCCTCAGCCTTCGATAATGCCAGGCGCACAGCGGCCTGGGTCACAGCTGTCAAATTACTCTCAGTGACGTGAATTATCTGACACAAAACAATACTCACTAGTCCTCGCTTTGACTTCAAACGGATTCATCAGGGAACGGTCTGACTCCCACATCTCGATCTCTTTCCGCCATGTAGCTAATTGATCTGGATCTAGGGCGGCCTCAAACTCCTTCAGATCAGAGGCACGTTCTTCAACCTCAGGTATTGCAGCCTTATATTTACGGAGGAGAGTTGTGCCTGTGAGAGTAAATCCGAGTCAGTATTGAATTGTTATTGATAGAGTGAAAACTAACCCATGGTGCAAACCTTCTTCCAATTCCAATCGTTGAAGTGATCATCTAAGGTGTCTCGCCTGGATCCAGGTCCCATCGCGCGAGTGCTTGTAGCGATGGGGTTGATATCTGCCCACCCGCGCTCTGGGGCTTCGCCATCAGTCCGCCCAACACCCTTGATGAAATTAAACGAGAATTTCGTTTGGCAACTGGCGATGTGTGCTGGTAGATGAAACTTAGGAACAAAAAATGCGACAACCTTGTGATCGTGGTCGATATGATACTGATGTGGGAATGTCGACATGCGCGACCAAAGATTTTTGTTCCACTGACAGGCGATATCGTAAGATATGTTGAGGACGTGAATGTCTTGTGAAGAGCGCATGCTTGAAAAAAATAGATAATCCATATTGATGTACCTATCAATGGTAGGTTAAGGAAACACGACTATGATGCATTAGATAGAAGAACGCACCTTTCTCCTTTTTGTAAGTCACCAACTGAACACGGTCGTTTGAAATTGTGCCGCGCACAATCAACTGTGCCTGCACCCGTTGCCGCAAGTCCACGCGAAGCCCTCGTATCTGCTAGGTTCACAGCAGAGTGGCTAGAGCATGTGCTCTTCTACATTTAACCATGGTTAGCGGCGTGTCTTAGGCAAGTATATTAAACTTACCTCCTGGGGATTCCCCACCCTGTAGTGCGAAGCCAGAAAGTCCTTGTACGCGGTCTCCTCCACAAAAAATGCATACCCGCGATTCAGTCCCGGATCAACGGCATCTGAGGATACATTACGCCGAACTAGTCGGAAATTTGCATCAATAGCCAGGAACATTGCATACAAAAATCTGTGGCTGAGTTAAGAATGAAACGCAAAACTTGTATGGGCGTTCTTACTGGAATTCCGGTGGAGAATTTTCCCACCCAACAGGTAGATTCCTGCTTGGATGGGGACAGGCAGGGCATAAGACGGCACAAGCACCGGCCTCTGTTGCTTGGATGCCTCCAGGATGATGACCCTGACCGCAGCGCTTCATTTGCATCACGAAGCGCCATTCACGTATCATCCGAAGAAGACTTGCATAGCGATCCTAAGTAATACATGTCAGTACAAATGTATTTGAATACAAGACCACTTTGCCTACCTTTAGGACACGAGTGCCTGTGTTATCCGTGAGGCGAGCAACAGTATTATAAAACTCCCATGCCGATACTTTAGATTCAAAGGACAGCATTTGAAAATACTCTAGCGCGCGAAAGGTGGCGGCTGATTTAGGGTCCAGTGTGGTGGCGGGAAACAAGCGAACACGTAGCAACTGGGTGATGTGTGGCTGTGCAGACTCACATCCACAGAAATCGAGTCCAACTTCATGGACACCATTGTAGTCGATAATAATGAAGTCGTCGTTGAATGTAGGGATCGGATTGACGCATTGGACACCAATGGGATGCCCCAGCTGAAAGCGGACTCCCAAGGCCTTCAATGTGGTGGTCTGAAATGAGGTGCCATTCCAACACTGCGACTTTGTAAGTTCAAAATGATATTCAGAAACAAAAAGTATACACACCTCTATCCTGTGAAGCGGTTGCCTCTCGTGTATGTGCAGAGCGCATGAGAGACACACCAATTCTGCACCGTGACAGTCTTGGCATCGATATATCGGGTCTGCTTCCCCACAGAAACATGTGGTTTGTGCTAAGTCACCGCGACCCTCTAAGCGAATAAATTCTAGTAGAAAGAGGTCGGCATCAGAATTCCACAGGTGCAAAGGATCATCCTAAGGAGACCTTGGTTAGAATGACTACTGCATTGACAATCAATATATGACTTACCCCAGCAGTCCGCTTTCGCTTGCCAGAACCAATATCCTCATCAACGTCATTGAGTGATGAAAAATCAAAATCGTCTGTTGGTAGATCGTGTACGTCTTGTGATTCAGGCTCCCCAAATCGGCGTTTGGCGGGTGAGTGTGGAACTGTGTAGTATAGTGAAGAAACAGCAAGACGACCAGTAGTTGCGGCCTCAAAACTGATGTGTTTGCGCTGCTGCTCCTGGCGAGTCTCTTGCGGAGTGTCGTTGGTCTCATTTCTGACTGCTCTTCCCGCAGCATCATTGTGAGCAAAGAAGTTGTTCTGGAACTGCCGGAGATTTCGCCGCTTTCGACTAGCAACCATGGTGTATTCTGAGTCTTGAGATGAGGCTGCGTACCATGTGCCAAACACCGGTTTTTCCCGGTTCTTTTACGTGTAGATAAGCGTAGGACCAGTGCGACTACACTACAGGTCAAGTTAATCCAATGTAATCAGATAACATTAAGAAACTGACGCATGACTCATTCGGAAGGTGTTTGCCAGCTAAGTGAACCTGCTGATATAGCATCATCATATGCTTCAGTACCGCCCTGATCTACCAGTGCAAAAAACTCCCTTTCTGCAGCAAGCCGTCGTGTTGTCAAATGGAGCAGTTGCTCACACTGCTGTGATAGAGCATCATGCCCAATCCCTGGTGCACATAGCCGTACACTCTCTGCCAGGTTGGTAATGCGCTGGTGCAAATTGTGCACATAAGTATATGCATCTTCGAGCTCGGGGGATATTACATCCCATCCTTCTGTGTCAACGCGTTGAAGTATTGTAAGAAACCGTTTCATGAAGGTATTGTGCTCGGGAACTCCTGCTCTGTAGCCTAGCTCCATGTACAGTATATCAAGGTCTTGAAACTTGACGACAATGGACTTAGATAGTGGTCAACATATATCGTGCGCACTGACACAAGAAAGACTCACTTCACTCATTTGAGAGTGTTTTCGCCAACGAGTTCGTGACTTCGCCTGCTCTGTGGTCTTGTTTCTAGATCAGAACGAACCAGATAACTGTTAATTCCATAGGACAGTGATAAAAGCTAACCTTGCATAGTGAGCTCGCTTGCTTTTCAATCTAGCATTGCGACGATCTTCTTCAGACTTGTATTTTGGCGGCATCGATATGGGTAACTTAGCATTTGGAATTGGTTCACGGCAAATGGCCTGATGGGCCAGTCTTTTCGAATGGGAGCCACACTTCGGGACAGATAGGTACGTATATACATATTTCAAATGCGAGCCACACTTCGGGACAGATGACATGTAGAATGCAAATGGTAGCCACACTTCGGGACAGATAGATTTGTATACTGTGTTGTACTTACTTGGTACGGGTTGGATGATCACTAGAAGACTCAATATTAAGAATGTCCGACTTGCGCGCAAAAGATGTTGGATGTGACCATGGCAAAAGCTTATATTTTAATATGTACAAATGACGGAGCATATAGTACGGAACATATCACACTGCCTCACTGCACCATGCATTAAACGCGGTCTGAAAATGCTCCTTCGCTTCAGAGAGTGTTCTAAAGTAATATACTGTTGTGCCGGCAGCACGAAGTTTGCGGGCAGTATAGCTAAGTATTGAACATGAGGCACAAATCCAAATGAATGAAGAGACCACGTACATGTCATTGAACAATCCCATTCCATGATCGCCCGTACTTACAAACCATTTGAAACGACTAGCAGGGTCGATGTCAATATTGACAAGTGTTTCAACACTGGAATTGACATCAACCATCCGACGCTCTCGCTGAGATTCTTCCCCATCACTGGAGGGAAAGTCAAGCTCGGAACCGGGCAAAATATCTTCATCGACATTGTCCGCAGGGCCGATCCAGACGTCAGAGACATCAGTGTCGTCCTCGACAACATTTGCGTGGCTGTCGCTGTCTATTGCGCCCTGGTGAGGGTCTGCACAGTGCGTATGGTGTCAGCTTTTTTAAAAAAAATGGTAGTTAAATTGAGCATACCGTGTTGCGCATGAAGTGCGCAGTCTTCACCTTCCGGTCGATAAGGCCAACCATATGGTTGGGGAGAGAATGGGGGAACTTTGCAATAATCAGTGAGCATTATGGAGAGCTGGAAGTAAACGACTTACTCTGTCCACTCTGAACCAACCGAATGGCCTCGATGAACTGCTCGAGTGTGAAGCAGGGATGGGGTAACATTTGAACGGGACGGTTGTGGCAGCACCTGATATCTGAGTGGGACATGTTTGCGAAGCTGAATGAAGGCAGTAAGTTCAAGTTAGCAATGAAGAAAAAAGTATTTGTACTCCTCATCGATTGATTGGTATTGATTGGTTGACTTTGTGAAAAAAAAATGAGCTGAATAAGGATGCGGTGAGGAAATTTGTAACGCACGAGTGACCTGCTGCACCCCCCCCCCCAAAAGGCGACCGGAAAGATGTGAGCATACCAGCTAGAAAAAACGGATATCGCACTGACATTGTATGCTCAGATGGCTCCTCCGAGGTGGACGACGGCAGCGGAACTTTCATGGCTGCAAAACGAAGTGCCAACATACCTTCAGATGCAGAAAGAAAAGAAAATAGTTCGATTCTTCGAACTACTGTACCCAAAATGGTTCAGTGGTTTCCCCGAACATTTGAGAGTTTGGCCCAGAGAGCCAAGCAAAAACTCACCTGACGAGGACACCGAGATCGACGAATCTGGTCTTGACTTGGCCAATGATGAGGTCAACGCTGAGCCGGACCATGAAAACAGTGTGAGTGACGGGGAAAAAACTCTCCCAGTTGGATGCAGAGCAGACAGAGGTGCTCAATGCTGCCATCAAGCATCGACGCAAAGTGCGTTTCTTTGATATTGAGCTGAATATAGGTCGGAATCCTGATTAGCTGGTCTACAGAAATTGCGGGAGTGGTTTCGAAACAATACCAAAGGAAAAACTACACCTGGTGGGACCTCAACTAGCAAAATCCTAACTACGTTGCTTGGCCAGCGTGCACGAGGCACCCGAGACCTCAAAGAAGTCGAGGTGTACTCGCAAATTCACTATGAATCTAAAGTCAAGCCCTTAGTTTCTGACGACATCAAGGAAAACAACCTTGTACTACCTGATCAGAAGCTTCGTGCTATCCGGCAGCACACGAGCGAATGTTTTGCAAACTGAGTCAGAAGATGTAAAGGATGAGGTTCGCGATGAGACTGTGCGTATCAATGCTGCCAGAAAGTTGGGATCAGTTGTGGCGGGTCAAGATCGGACAAAAGAGGAAATTTACCGGTAAGCGATTCTTTGATGTTGTTGTGTCCGACTTCAGCGCTTCAGCTGATGCCTTTTGGAAGTGCCATTCAAGAGCTGCCCATCGTGCTGGGTCAAATATTCGAAGAGCTTTCAACTCTCACGGGTGGATGGCACTACTCACTTGTTATGGGTGGGCCTGACCCTTTATGCGAAGGTGATATCATGACGTTAAGGTGCGTCTTTCTTGCTATCTCATTTGCAAGAAGTTAATTCGTCATCTTTTGTTAGTTATCACCACGGTAAATCCTGGAGGGTTTGAGCTTCAAGACATCGACACCAAACTTCCACGAACAATATTTGTTACCGTTTGAAAAATACCTGGGTCGCATCTATGGTAAGTATCATCCTCGGTTAGTTCATAGAATAACAGCTGATATATCAATAGGTCCTTCTGTGAAGGGAACTTCAGTTCCCGCTTCCGCATCCAGTTCACCTCCTCCATCAACTATCAACCTCGTTTCGCCATCTGCACCCTGTGCGCCTCCTCCATTGACGACGGATTTCATTTCAACATCCGCACCCAGTGCGCCTCCTCTATCGACCATGGACCTTTCGACATCTACACCCAGTGTGCCTCCTCTATCGACCACGGACCTTCCGACATCTACATCCAGTGTGCCTCCTCTATTGACCATGGACCCTTCGGCATCCACACCCAGTGCGCCTCCATAGACCATGGACCTAATTTCGCTAGATGAGCCATCAGACCAGTCAAGTGCCCGCCTACTTCAAGGGCAGGAGTTCAATACTTCTGGTCTGGTACTTGATCCACCCCAATGGAATGGATGGCAAAGTCACCCAGACCCCAACCCATCTTACATGTCTTCTATTGCTCCAGACTCGCCGATCACTGCTTGGAGAAGGGAATATGGGTTCAATGAAAATGGGACTATGTCTGCCGCACTCCCAAGCGCCATCATGCAGCCTCAACTGCCATATTCCCCACCACTCACCTTCGTACCAGACATTCCTGTTCATCAACATTCACTGCCGGCCTCTTTGCCTGAATCTTTGCTGCCGGTCTCTTTACCTTTGCTGCCGGTCTCTTTGACCAATCACGCGCTGCCTGGTACCTGAACGTGCACTGCCGGTCTCTTTACCGGAACCAGCACTGTCAGTCTCTTTACAGAAACCTGCGCAGCTGGTCTCTTCACCACAACCTGCGCTGCCACTCGAACCTGACCAGGTCATGTTGGCGCATAATTCAAAGCCTTCAACATCCTCCGAACACACTGTCGCAACCCAAGCTAGGCGCTCGGGATGCTCAGGACGTCCTTCAACTCGAGCAGAGGAAGCTAACAAAATTGGTGATACCAGCTTACAGCAAGTGACGAAGGCGGGACCTAAGAGAAAGCAGAACGCGGTACAAGCTTCAGAGTCTCGGAAAAAGTCTCGGAAATGAGGTCATTGTGGGCCTCCAGCCTTATAGATACATACTATAGCCTATGCACCCTTGTCAACAATGTTAATTTGAGATTTTTTGGTGTTCGTATTTGAATGCTTCTGCCGCAAGACAATTCAGACCATCTAACACTGTATCATTAGCATTTTACTGATATACTGGCAGTAAGATCATGATATATCACACTGTATGGCTAGCCGCAGTATACCACTAGAGTAAGTGATATATCACATGGAACACTGTAGGGTGAATTCAAAAGCTAAGTACATCATGATATATCACACTGTATGGCTAGCCGCATTATACCAGAGTAAGTGATATATCACATGGAACACTGTAGGGTGAATTCAAAAGCTAAGTACATCATGATATATCACACTGCTAGTAGGGTGACACTGAATTCAAAAAGCTAAGTACTGGTGATATATCACAATCCAAGTAATGTATTTTATTAATACTCAGTAGAGGGCGATGATATATCAATAAAATGCAATGTATCATAATTTACAGTGGATATGCTACTAGTATATGAGGCAGTGATGTATCATGAAATATATTATTTATCACTGGTGGTAGGTGATGTATCACGCTCTATTGGTTACTGAAGGTGGGGGACAAGTGATATATCATTGATACATCATATGTCTATGCCTATGGTTTATAGGTGTGGATGTATCACTACCCTTCTACAATGACAGGTAATTGATACATCATTATGACATTATAGCCTGGATGCCATTGGAGCCAATCACAGGGAAGACAAAGTCATCAGGCTTGAGTTCGCCATTGTAGTGAATATGCTTGAGAAGAGCAAGCCACAGCAGCATCCAGAAGAAACAATCACAGCCAGGCATGTCTAGCTGTGGATAAATTGTGTACCAGAGAATACTTCTTGGTCACACATCAAGTGGCACCCCGATCAGGACCCTGAAAAAACTTCTAGCCAACATTGTGCTCAACAGCGCTAAAGACGCCTAGAGGCATCAGCACCTGACCCAACCTTCACCTAGATATAGAATCCAAGAAACAAAAACAAAAAACATCCATCAAAAACATGACCAGACAAATGGGACCTGGCAAACCATGCAGCATGAGTTTCGGCTCAAAATCACCAGCCTCACGAAACACATCTCTACAATGCCCGGCGGACCCTCAACAAAAAGAATAACAAGATCTACAAATGTAACATTGACCTCACTAGAAATTGAAGCGCAACCTAGCACCGTCACCGATGCTACCAGTGCCCACCTATACCTCAAAAAAAAGAGCCTCTGCCACGCGACTGAACCATGTACGTTAACTCACTTAATTTCGGTTCTTTTACAGATCACACAGATATCTGGTTCCACCCCCCTCCCAGTATTAACAGCTATCAGATCTGTTGTCTTCCTACTCAAACAGCACGCAGTAGACTGAAACAGCAGATGCAGTAGCCAGGCAAGTAACTGAAGACAGTAGCTCAACAAATCTCAGACTCGATCACGGCGAAAACTAGTGGACCATGTAGTTGCTGCTATCGCCCCACAAGTAGCTCGGATACTAACTGTTTCTGAAAGCATGGAACACACTGGCACAAAGCATAGAACAGTCTAGACCCCTACCAATTGAACCAGACTCTAGCTCAGCGACCCTCACCCCACAGATGATAGATCAGATCATGTCCTCCCTCACCCCACAGATAGACCAACTCACCTTCAACCTCAAACTCCCTCACCCACTCACTAGAAGAAACGATACAACTAAGCAAACTGGTAGAAAACCGAGTAGACCTAGACAGAGATATCAACACCTCAGCGGACTGCATCACACATGCTACAGACACCTTGTTTAGTGCTATCGAAGATTGCCAAAGTTCCATTGACCTCATCTCCCCGTCACTTGAGGTCACACAGCAAAGACTAACACCCTCTCTATGCAGATCCTATCCCAACCTGCTGCTACAATCACGCCACCTGTAGTACCACGACAAAGCCAGTTCAGTGATATCATCACCTCCAAAACCCAATCCCAGACTCCAAGATATGCCACTCAACCATCCACAGCCTGCGGATCCCCACCCAACCTCAACACCTTCGCCCCCAACCCCCCACACCTGAACGCTGAGCCTCCTCAATCAGCACTGGCAGATGCAGCTATCGCCAGGTTGGCCATCCGTGTGAGACAGATACTACTGGACCCATTACCGGGCAACCTCTTCCTCCAAATATCAGCCAAGAGGCTACCTCCAGTAAGATCAACATGGCCATCAAAACAGCTCTCACTCCCACAACCATCAAGGACACATCAAGGAATTATTCCAACTGCGCAACGGTGGGCTAATAGTAGAACTAGACAGCAAGCTGACACTTACCAGACTCTGCGAAACTGTTAAGACCGTACTCAAGTAGTATCGGGTCTGAAGGGCTTCGGCCTCAGCTCGTGCGCTGTGCCCCTTTCCCGAGTCTTGCCCCTTATTTCAGAGAGCTAAAGTATCGCGTCTAGTGAGACGGATAAGTATTGTAACGGATAAGTCTTGTATCGCAACGGATAAGTATTGCAACGGATCCATTAAGACTTCCGGATATTGAACATATAGAGTACGATAGTTAGTAGAGTTATATGAACAGGAAATGAAATAAGAATCAAGCGGATCTGTGGACCGGACGACGGATATGTTCATCGGATCTGGAACACCCACAAGAGATTCCTTCAAGCCCTAGATAACTTGGTCATCTTCAAAGATAGAACATACACCCTAGTAATCCAAATATGTACCAATCAACATACTAATTGAATGCACAGGACTCCTACACCTAATCGAAGGAAAGAACCAACTCACAGACAACTCCCTTGCCTCCATGCGCTGGATCAAACCCCCGGATAAGAGACCCCCAGGACAAACAATGGCCTTTGCACTCCCTACAGGTAAATGACCCTGAAACAGGCTAACAAACTAATCAAGGACAGCCTATACATCAACCGGTGTCTTGCTACTTAAGGGTCTTATATGGAATGTGTATATAGTGACAACATAACTATACAGGGATAAGACTACGTGCCAGTCCTTAAGTACACCGTCTACGACTTTCTAGTTTTCGTGGGGTAGATAATGTGTGAGTTCTTGGGAGGATTTACAGACATGTCCTCTTCTTGTCTTTCTCGGGGTTCTCAGTGATACAAAGTTTCTCAGTGTTATATAGTCAACCTCTAGTTTAGGTAGTATATAACTAGTAGTAGAAGTGTCTTAAATCTTACTTCAAGGCAACCTATTTGGCCTGCACTTTCTAAATCTTACTGGATCTCACATGGTTTGAGAGAAGAGTGGGAAGTGGGAAGTTATGATTACTAGGTGCAAGATGGGCTCCTTTTATACCTTTTTGGGGCCCCCCCTTACTAAGCATGACTCATCACAGCATTAGTAAGTCACTGGCTTACTAACCATGCCATTTGACAGTGCTGAATCAGCTGCTTATCAATCTAATATACATAAATAGTAAATACTATTACAAAGCATGATAAATCATGACAAAGCCTGATAAATCAGCATATTGCCAGTCACATGACATGCTTACAAACATATCTGATGGCTCACTGAAGGATTCTGTGGCTGAAAGAAATGGAAACAGACAGAAGCAAATGGAAACTGCATGACAAATCATGAAGGATCCTTACAAATCAGCATATTGCCAGTCACATGACACATTGAGTAACATATTTGTGGCTCACTGAGTAAATTGATAGCTGAATAAGCCTTGGAAAAAGAAAGAGAAGGAAACTGATGGAAACTAACAAACTGGAAATATAAGTACAAGTAAATCAGTCATAAAATGAAACCAAGCCTATGATACAATGAAGTATACCTTAGTATACTCTCCTGTGAATACTTCCTGTCTACATATGTTATGGTATGGTTCCCATACCATGCATGACATCCACTGGGCACATGAAAGCGCAACTGCCCCCAGTTGATGTACAGGTAATCGTGTCTGATAATTGTCATTGATTATCTTCTCTGTCTCCATCTATTCTCTGGATCAGCTAAATGAAACCATTCCTCTAGGAGTCTGAAAAATTCAAAGTATACTCCACAAGTTGGACACAATTGTAAGAGTGCAGTTTGATGTTGGCAGTCTCAGAAAAATAGCATTTGGTGATAATGTTCACTAATATCTTGAAAAATAAAATCCTCATGAAGGTTACTACAGTCTTTCAAAAGGATGTTGAAAATGTTGGTGATTTGTTTCTGCAAGTGATTTTGTCTTATGGTGTCTTTACCATTCATTGTGTTATGTTATTCATCCTCTGAGAGGGAAAAAGAATCAGAGTCTAACAATGATAAACTTTCCTCAGAGTGCTGAGTGTCGACAAGGGTATCAGCAATTTCTTGCAAGGCAGGATCACTTCTGCTTATATAAGGAATTAGTCTAAAGGTGGCTACACCACATCTAGACAGAGTTCCGTTCATTTCTCGTAATATATATGATCCTCCTTTGGTTTGTCTCTCAACAACAAAGGGTCCTAAGTATTGTGGCTTTGTTTTGCGATTCAATTTTTTCTCGATCTGGGTATTGTGGACTAAGACGAGATCACCAGGATCAAATGATTTCTTATGCATCCTAAGGTAATACTTCTGTTCAAACTGAAGCTTGGATTTAAATCTTGCCTTCTTCAAGGTCTTTGTGGCATGTCTCAAGTCTTCAGGTCTTCTTTCGATTTGACGTATTTGTAAAATAAGGAAATCAACAGGACTCATGTCCATGTAAAATCCATCAACAAGGAATGTAGCTTCACTAAGATTGAAAGGTAAAACGGGATGTACTTGAGAATCCAGTTGCACGGCTGGTAGTAATGTTTTTCGGCAAAGAGTGCCTGAGGGACTTTCTCAGGCCAACGAGAAATATGCTTTCCACAGCTTTTGATGATTGCTTCTCTGATGTTAAAGTGTCCATGCTCAACTACCCCATTAGCTTGTGAATTATAGGGTGATATCTGAATCTGTGGAATATCTACTTGATGAAGTAATTTCTGGAATGCTCCCTTGACTTCAGGACCATTATCTGTCACTATCTGTCCTATTGCACCATCATGGCAATATAAGTCTTCCCAGAAGAACTTAGCCATAGCTTTGGCGGACACGGATCATAATGCTCTCCCTTCTACGAATCGTGAAATATCATCTCGAGCTAACACAAGATGCTTCAAACCACCTCTGGCAGGCATCTTGAGTATGTCAACATATATCTTAGTAAAAATCGTGGCTGGAGTAGAGATAGTGATAGGGATATGCATTTTCTTAACGGATCAAATTTGGCAGTCATGGCAAGACTGCACATGGTGTTTATGTCATGGTATGGTTCCCATACCATGCATGACAGTGCCCTTGCAGTATGTTCATCATGGCACTCCCTGTACTCAATTCCAGTCCAGTTTCTGTTGCAGAGGACGCGCCCTCCCAGCACGTTCATCATGGCACTCCCTATACTCAATCCCAGTCTGGTTTCTGTTGCAGAGGATGCGCCCTCCCAGGATGCTCATCATGATGCTCACTATACTTAATCCCAGTCTGGTTTCTGTTGCAGAGGATGCGCCCTCCCAGCACCCTCCCCAGAACCCTCATAAAGATAGGCAGAGGTCTGGAAATGGTATTAAGTCAGTCTGGCGTGTCATCTGTAGTGAATGTAAGTGCTACATCAATTCAACTACCGCTGTGGTGAAAGAAATAGTAGTTGGCTAGCTATACCAACAAACTTACTAAATCCTAATGGGTGCGAGTGCAGTACATCGACCCAAGGGGGCTGCTATTGAAGCACTTCCTTCTAATAGTGCGAGGGAAGAGAAGGGAAGGAGTTATGATCTGAGACCAGAGATATTCCGACTGACC